AATGGACTTTGTTAAAAGCAACGATTTCTTGAAATATGAAGCAGTCATATTGCAAGTTAGGCCATCTTTCACTATGGTTATAGCCGTCCATTTGTGCCATTACTTTAGACAGGCGAGCAAGCCTAGCCTTGCTTTATATTTTTCAGATCCAGTTTTAATTTGTGTCATTTTTGCCTTCATACCCTTACGAGACCAATCCCCTGATTAGTGTTTAATTACCCTCCAAAACAGTGATCAACTCTGTTGCAATTGTAGATTTTGCCTCTACAGGCGTCAGAGACCATGTTGAATATGACTATTCTTTACTCACACTATTAGTACTATTTGGGAAAAGTGGGACGATTTTGGCCTTTTTTCCCCCGATACTGGGAAAAACGCGTGAAAAAGTGGTGCAATGTGCAATGAATTCCATGGAATCTTTCTATGAAATTAAAAGAGGTTTTTACCAAAGATGAGTATCGCGTCATTTTTTGTTATCCCATGATATATCGTGCATTCTTTAATCTTAAAACAGTAAATTTTACCTCTTTTCTCCTGGGTGGGAACGTAATACATCGGAAGCAGGAGTACAGGTCTGTTAAGTTGAGACTAACTGGTTTTGACTCTTTATATATCTGACTGTCTTGACTGTTTTAGAGTCAGTTTTGTAAGTTCGAAGATAATGGATTTAACATGCATCTCTACAATATGTGACGTCACTGAACACTTATGGACGTGCAATAGATCTGTCATGTAATAATTTATCCTTTATTGTCAGAACTTTAGTGCTCTAAAAGTAACAGGCGCGTTCGAGCAAGTAGGGTTAATCCTGGGTTAATTAAAACTTAAAATAGTAAGGTTTTTAGAAAACGTAAGCTTTTTGATGTCTTTGGTTTTAATTTTATGCGATGACAATTCTAATTAGGGCAAATGAGCATTTTGTCCAGACTTCATTTACGTGTTGTATAAAATCACATTAGGGCCGTTTCTTGAACATTTTTTCTCATTTTCCATGTCACTGCACCAGGATATAACCCACGGCTCTGATGTGCTTGTTTCCATTATCTGCCCCGTACCTTGCCTCGTTTCCACACGTGTTGTCGTTATCACGTTTTCCCCCTGTTCCAAACCCGATTCTAGAATCAAAGCGATCGCAGTCGTTTTCATTATTTCCAAGGATCCTGACTCTTACTTTTGAATGAAGATTATTAGTACCCATAGCATTAAACCCTTCCTTGTTATAGTTTCGCTGTAAGGAGGCCTGTGCACCAATCAGCGTCTTCCACGACCCAGTGAGGTGGCGCGGTATTGCCCGTCAGCGATCAGTGAGTACACAGAGTTGGCCTGCTT